TTGGGGACGGGGGAGGCGGGGGGGGGGGGGGGGGGTACTCATAGTCTTGCATGCCGTAGTCGTTAGACCATTGACCTCGCATTCATGTTTTGCATGTCTTTAGTTAGACCATTCACTACGCGTCCTCGAGAGGACGGAGCATTGTTCCCACAGGATCAATCATACATGGCCAATCGTTCCTGTCTACTTCATCGGGAGCGGTGGGGTGGGGTGGGTTGAGCTCGTCACAGCGCGCGCGCGGCGCGGAACTTGGCAACGGGTGGAAATACAGTCAACGCCTACGAAAACCCCGGGGTGTAAACAAACAAATCATCACAACGATGACGCTCGAGCCCGCTCACGTGTACGGGTCCAGCTCCGTCACGCTCAGCAGGTGAAACCGCCAGTCTCCCCTCTCGCACCACGCCTGCCCGGGGGTGTAGACCCTTGTCCGGAGAGCTCCCGCCGAAGAGTAAGGGCAAGTGTGCACCGTCGCGACGTTGGCGGCAGCGGGGGTCTGAAAAAACGAACAAATATAAATGGGGGCGACGCAGAGTCGCAGACACGAGCCAGTAGGGTGGGGGGTGTCGTCTCTGTGTGAAGAGCGTGATCCGGTGTGATGGTCAAGTCGCATTGGGTGGTGGAGTCGGCTTGGCTGCGGATGTTGGCAAGCTCGCCTCCGCGACACACAAAAACTGTACTTTCGCAAGGCTGCACTCAACTCGCCCATGGGTCTCAATACTACGAGAGCCCTGCACATGTAGATACAAGCGTCATATTCTTTCACCAGATTCAAGTGTACGGCGTAGCACGTAGCACGCAGCACTTGTTCGAGAGCAAACGAAAACGAGGAGCCAGCCACAAAACTCACCGCTGGTCCGGACGTGCCCTGCCTTGCTGCGGCCGCCTCGAACCGCTGGTCTAGCCGCATGCGGATTAGCTTCACCGTCTGTGGCATGCCGGGAGGAGGAGGAAAGAGGAGGAGGTGCATTGTCAATAGTCAAGAGCTTTGTCTTCATGCCAACCCAATCCCTTGCTGCCTATGAAAAGCCAGCGAGGGCCACATGGGCGAAAAGTACTTGCGGGATAACTTACGAATATTGTGCTCTAAAATACAAAGGGGATCCATGATAGTCCCTTTGTGGCACGTGCGACGTGCACCAAATCATACGTCTGGGCGTCGTCGACCGATAAATCCGTCTTTTGTTGAAAACTCGTGCTTGGTCAAGCACGCACGCGGCAGATCGAAACGCCGCTACGCTACGCACCTAAATCAGCCCCGTACATATACACGGATTTTCCCCCGACCACGATGTTAGCCCGCCAGCTTCTCATTGCCCAGTCGGCATCATCGCCGAAGGAAAACTTGTGCTTGGGCAAGCACACGCGACAGACCAAAACGCCGCTATGGACCTCATTCAGCCCCGCACACACGCCTACCATCATGTTAGGCCCACGGCTCCTCATTGGTCAGCCGACCGGCAACCAAGCGAAACTCTTAAAAAACGCCACCCTACAGCAGCAGCAGTAAACTCACCTTCCTGTCGGCTTCGGTGAGCATGGCTTTGGGGTCCTTGTTGTTGACGGGATTGACGCCCCCGCCAAGGAGCAGGGGCTGAAGGTCCTTGTCGTCCCTACCCACCTCCCTCAGGGCGTGCAGGGAAAGCGCCGTCCTCGCCATCTCCGCCCACGCGAAAGGCTAACGAAAACGAAGACGACGAAGAGGAGCACCACACGCCAACACGAGAAGCAAACAGAGAAAGGGGAAGTGAGTTGAGGGGTCTCAATTCTTGTACGAAACCGTCTCAACTGTTCAACGAAATCAACAAAAATCGAGAAAAAAAAGAGAGGGACAGAGAGACAGGGAGAGAGACAGAGAGAGAGAGTGCAGACAGAGAGACAGAGACAGAGACAGACAGACAGACAGACAGAGAGTGACACAGAGAGACAGACAGAGAGACAGACAGCCAGACAGACAGCCAGACAGACACAGAAAAGAGCCCTTTCCCACTGGCCTACAACTGGCTTACAACTCGCACTTACCCCATGCAGAGCGCCGATGAGAAGCGGGTCTGCCGCCTCGACGTTGGTCATCCCGAGGCTCTTCACCGCGGATGGGGTCGCAAGGCCGGCAAGGGCGGCCGCCATGCCCGACAGCAGCGCCACCGCGTCCCGCCTCCTCTTGCTCGAGTCATCGTCCTGTCCATCCTTGTCCTCGCTGCCCCGAAGATGTGCATAGGTTTTGGCAGAGGAAACGGAAGAATAATTATTAGAAGACAACACATCGTAGGAAAAAAACAGACACGCGAGAAAACGCAAGGCCATCATCGATGACAACAATACCAACACCAACAATCACACCCATAACAACAGCAACAGCAGCAGCAGCATCAAAACCATCACCATCACCATCACCATCATCATCATCACCATCATCTCCCCCCCCCCGCCTCCTACACTCACCCGCGGCACACGCCGTCCACGGCGTGCAGAGCCTGCGCGAGGCGCTTGAGGGATGGGGGGCGGGCGGGAGTGAACCCAGCCTCCGACAGCGGCTCCCGGAAGCAGTACAAGAAGTCCCACAGCTGGAGCAGGTTCGCGACCTGCTGCTGAGACAGGCCCAGCTCCTCCAGCACCACCTGCCCCCCGAGCCTCGCCCCGCCGCTGGACGTGGACGAAGCGCCGGCCTCCGCCTTGGGCAACGCAGAGCTGCTGGCGCCCTTGGTAGAGCTGCCGCTGCCGCGTGGTACTGTTCCGCGAGCGCTGGCTAGTGCGGCCTGAAGGATGTCGTGGTCTCGGTCCTCGGCGGCTTGTTGCTGGCAGACAAGGTAGGTAGGTAGGCAGGCAGGCGCGGTGCATCATCAAAAGGGGTGGAGGGTTAGGAGGGGAAAAGAAAGAAAAAGGCCAAGAACGCCCGGAGGGTACAAGGACACACGATCCCTGATGGTCTACAACATCACCCGCTTGCTGATGGCACGCAGGTAGGCGGGTAGGCGGGTGCCTCACAAGGAGTGGGACGTTGAGGGAAAAACAAAACAGAGGCCAACACAACCCGGAGGGCACAGCTGCGGAAAGAGATACAGAGACAGAGACAGAGACAGAGACAGACAGAGGCACACACACACAGAGAGAGAGAGAGAGAGAGAGACACACACACACACACAGAGAATGAGGCAGAGAGACAGACAGACAGACAGACAGACAGACAGACAGGCAGAGAGACAGACAGACAGACAGAGAACGGGCGCGCCCATTTTCTTTCTTTTTCTCACCTCTTCTGTCCGACACTCCAGACCTTCGCAGGCGTCGTCCCTCAGGATGGCCGCCATCCCTTCCGCGTCGGCCCTGGTCTGCAGGGTCTGCCGGGCGAAGGTTCTTCTCTTCGACACCTCGGCTTCGAACAGCCTTCGAAGGGCCCGCGACAGACGTTCTTTCTCGCGAGCTTGCTCTCGCAGAACCTTGTTTTTTCGCGGAAAGGAAAAAAATCGATTGGACAGAGCCACGAGGAACAAAAATCGTGCACCCAAAGTGTATAATATGTCGAGTCTCTGGTCAGATGTACGGAGGTTCGAAGATTTATTTTTTGGAGATGCTTGTTTTTCTTGCAGAACTATTTTCCCACTCAAATGGGGAAAGTGACTCCAAAGAGCGCTTGTCTGAATTGGCGCCTCGATATCTGTAAGGTCTATAGTGGTGGGAAGTTCTCGTGAAGCTTGATCTTGCTAGAGTTATTACTTTGACCACAGGAGCTCTTGTTTTGCCTTGGTCAAGATGGAAAAAGAGGTACTGGAACGAGTCTGTAACTGTGTGTAAACAACAACGACCATAACGACAACACACGATGACACCACCACCAACAATAACAACCACCGCTACCACAACGACAACAACAGCAACAGCAACAACAACAACAACGATAACGACAACGATAACAACAACGACACCACCAAACAAGAAACAATGAACCAACACCACCAACTAAAAATAACCGTGAACCAACAACACCAACAACACGAGCAGGCAGCGGTCACCTTTTCCTCGAGCTTCTTGTAGATCCTCTCGACCTTCTTCTCCTCAAGGTCAGCCTTCTTCGCGACGGCCTCTTGAGCCTTGGCCTCCCTCTTCCTCTCGCGTTCCTCCTCCACCTTCCTCTGACGCTCCTCTTTCGCCGCGGCCTTCATCTCCCTCTCCACCTGGCCGGAACAAAAAGCAACGCAGAGTCGACCACGTTATTTGCGTCAATGAACGAACGAAACGACGGCAAAAGCGACCGTTATTTGTATCTACGATCGAAATAAAATCGACCACCACGTTTTGTGTGTCGGTGATTGGAAATAACGAAAGCAAAAATCGACCACATGATGTGTGTCAATGACGGAAAAAACGAGAGCGAAAATCGACCACGTCATTTGTATAAATGATCGAACAACACGGCAGAAAAAACGACCGTGTAATTTGTATCAATTATCGCAAAAACGGCAGCAAAAAAGGAAGAGACAGCAAAAATCAACCTTGCTATTTGTATCATCGATCGACAAACGGATCGTGCTAGATATTGTTGTTGCTGATGTCACTATTTCTTGCCACTGTCCTGGAGGCTGACACCCGGCCGCAGTACAGCAACAACAAGGTGTAGTCCAACTGGAAACATGGAACTCAGGGGAAACATAATAAAAAAACATCTCGCTCACCACCGCATAGCTGGATGTCCACACGCCGGCGAGCTCGATGGCCACGGGGTCCGAGCGCCTCTCAAGCTCCGAGAGCTGTTCGATCATCGTCCTCCCGTCGAGTACGTTCCTCCTGCGGACATACATAAATATATAGAGAGAGCGGTCATTTTTCCCGTCCCCCTTCGTACAGGGAGATGACCAATGGATGCTGGGACAAAGCTTAAGGTCAAATTCAGGACCGAAGACACAGGCCTTCGAGAACGTCGACGAAGACATAAGACGGCAGACGACGAAGACGACAAGTTCAAATGTGATTGCGGCTTCGAATGCGAAGACCGTGTTGATGTAGTCGCGAAATGTCAGTTGTACGAAGAGGAGAGGGAAGTGTACATGACTGAGCTGGGAAAAATACGAGAGGGAGGTACAGGGAGATGTTTGAGGCATGGAATAGAGAGGAGAGGACGGTAGCCGTACTGGGGAGTAGCAAGTGGTTTGAAAAGGCGGGAAGTGATATCGTTAGGATAGTTAGACTAGGGGAGACATTTTTAAGCCAACTTTGGCAAAGTAGGAAGGAACGATTGGCCATCGGTGATCGGTCCTGTGGGAACAATGCTCCGTCCTCTCGAGGACGCGTGGTCAATGGTCTAACCACTAAGGCATGCAAAACATAAAGGTACGCCCCCCCCCTCTTCGTAGTTCCTCGTCTCAATCGTGTTTAGGCATCATTCTGACAGCTGTTCGATCATCGTCCTCCCGTCGGGTACGGCCCTCCCGATCAGAAGAAGAAAATTTTGGATGTAGACGGAGTGCGTTCATGTTCCACTCTATGTTTGTAGTTCCCCATCCAAATCGTGTTCGGCATGGCCATGCTTACAACAAGGCATGGATAGCTCATCCTCTGACGAGGGTAGATAGCCTACGTCCTCACCGCATAAATAAAAAAATAATTGTGCCCCTAAGGCCTCTCTCTAGTATATGCCACCAATTTTGTGTTGACTTACCTGAACCCGGTGGCTGCGAGCTTTGCGGTGGATCTTTCTGTGACGTTGCTCGGCCCCTTCGTGCGCTCGTTCACCTTGGTGATCCTCTTGAACGTCTTCTCCGCACGGTGCGCTTCGAAGACGTAGCCCTTCACGCAAACAAAACAAAAAGAAAATGGAGCAAGCGCATGTTTGTTTCACTCGGTTGGGCTTTGTGCACCAAGAAGGCGCGGATAAAAAAGAGCGCAACAACACCCTATACACCGTTACATAGCAAAAAAAAAAACACGAAACACGCATACACAAAATGGTTTGCCGGCTAGTTGGGCGATGCTTATTTCACAACACACACACGCCCATGGTCAGCCCGCTATTATAGCGTGGTCGGTGCTACCAAAAACCACACGCACACACAGGCGTCATTTCTTCGCACACCGCGACGGACACACACCTTGCACTCATCCACGAGAGGAAGGCCTTCCAGGAGCCGGCATACCGAAGGGGGAAAGAACCCCGCGTACCACAGGCTGCCATCCTTGGAACTCCCAACCTGCGCGCGGCACGTGACGACGCACCAGGAGCAAGGGGCGTGGGGGTCGGGGGTCGGGGGGCGGCGGGGGCGTATTCTCATGTTTTGCATGCCTTAGCGGTAAGACCGTTGACCGTCCTCGAGAGGACGGAGCATGGTTCACACAGGACCGATCACCGATGGCCAATCGTTCCTTCCTACTTTGTCAAAGGTGGCTCAAAAATGTTTTCTCTACCCTATCTAGCCTATATCGGTATCACTTGCTAGGGGGGGGGGTGTACTCATAGTCGTGCATGCCGTAGTCGTTAGACCATTGACCTCGCATCCCTACAAAGCCGGGACGGAGCACGCCGGGTTCTCATCGGACCAGGCTCTCACATCACCAAGCGCGAAGCGCCGTGAGGTATTCGGCGAGTCGCATGAAGGGTGAGCTGCATCCTGCTAAGGGTGTTCGGCATCTTGTGCTTACGTCCTTGCGTACGGATGACAGCCGCGTATGACTTAATTTATTTTCTGGCGCTTTCACTTCCAGAGACAGTTGTAAGCACTGTGTAACTGCCTCGAGGATGCTTGACCCAAGTGGGGGGGGCACCGGGACACCGATGTCAGACATGCTCTCATCGTCTACAAAAAACATAATTCAGTGTATAGGCTAAATATGCGCAAAATAAGTCCAGTCCATATATCTCCGAGACAAGACAACTCGCTGGGGCAGAAGGCAAGAACCGGGGTAACTTTTACGTTAGCCCGAGAGCCCGCAAAAAAAAAAAAATCCAGCCGGTTTTTCTCCGGCTCACTTAAAAGACTGCAACACATCCCCTTCGGCTGTGGTGATGTCTCGAAAGGGTATAGTCTCTCTTTGATTGTATGAATATTTTCTACAGAACCGTCCCACAAAAACACCACACCGTTGCACGCGGTGTGGCACGGAGGGAAACGCCGTACAAGGTGCGTCGACGACCGGAGCCTCAAACGGTTCGGCTCCCGGACGAGACGAAACGGCGAGAATTCCGCCGCATACGATACAACATCGCGCGCCACCCACCGCTTCGAAACACCCCGCACTGCTGCGTAAGATACCATACCCCCTGGACCGATTTCAAAGGCCGACTACTGCCCCACGGCGAAGAGGACTGTCCCAATCAATCGTTACGCCTTCGGAAAGCTCGGGACGAGGAAGATTTCAGCGCCGCCAATTTCGCCACCGTCACTGTTTTCGCTGCTGTAATCGAGACAAATAACATCGGTCTAGGGGGTGTGGTATCGTACGCAACCTACGGTGGTCGCAGGCTACGTAGGCCCACGGCAGTTTTGCCGAAAACAACAACAACAAAGAGAGACCCGCCCCCTCCCCAAACTCTCTACCCTCCGGTAGTCAACGCTTTCCGCGCCCCACGCCTGCTTCAGGGAGGAGAAGGAGGAGGAGGCACTTGACAGCAACTCCAAAAAACACCACGACGATCATCAATTCCGCCGTCCCTCTCCTTCCGCCCATCGCATTTGGGGGCTGAGCATCGTCCGACTCGATTGACTCACCTCTGGACCCCCCCCACGTTCCCCTCCCTTGCCCGCTGAGCCCCCCCCCTTCCCGCCTCCGGCCCCGTTGGAACGACCGTTGGCCTGGCTCATCGCAGCAGCGCCGTCGTTGCCGCCGCCGCCGCCGCCGCCGGCCCCCCGCCCCCCCGACTGCTGCTGCTGCAGAGACGAAGAGGCGGCGGGCTCAGGCTTGACCTTAGGCGCTCTCGCTGGCGGAAGGACCTCGCCTGTGGACAGGGGACAGGGCATGGACAGCGGCAATTGCAGCAGATACTCGGGCTCTCGGGTGGAGGGGGTACCGTGCGACGGCGTGTGACCCCCCCCCCCCTCCCTTAGACCGACTTTCAAAAATCTCGGTTGCTCCGCGACCAATAGCGCTCGACACATGGCGGACACGACACAGACGAGATGTTTCCGAATCAACCATTTGGCGGTGTGCACGCAGGATACAGCGCCAGCGCCAGGGTAAGACGAGAGAAGAAAAAAAAAACGAGGTAAAGCGTTTTTACAAGGACCCCGTTGGAACCGCTCATGCCGGCCATATACAAGAAGCCGGGTAATAAAAACGATCAGCGCGAGCAGACCAAGGGTGCAAGCAAACTACAAGCATACGACCCCTCCATTTTCAAGAACAAAAAACACGGTTGAAAAACCGTAAAACATACCAGAGGCGAGTGCCAGTAACCGACAAACAATGCGAGGCTCCTTCGACGAAAATGTTGTGCGAGAGGGGCATACACACCACGCAAAAGAGACAAAACAATGCTACGTGTACGAGAAGGCACGCATTCACCACGCAGAAAGAGAAAAAAACGCCTCTTTTCCTTTCCCTTCCTCTCACCGGTGATGTCGAAGATGGTGGCGCTGTTGGCGTCCACCCGCGCCCTTGCGCCAGCCCTGGCGTGCAGCAGCTTGGCCGTCTCTCGCCGTAGCTCGTTCTCCTCGTCGTCGGAAGCCTGGAAAGGACGTACAGTACACGCACCCATAACAACAACGTAAGCGTACGGGGGGGGGGGGGGGGGGGGGGGGATTTCCAACCCGGGCCCCCCTTTTTCAAAAAACCTTTACCCCCCCCCCCCAAAAAACCCGGGAGGAAAAACCCCGGGGGGGGGGGGGGGGGTACCCCAACCCCGCCGACCCGAATTTTTAAAACCCCCCCCCCCGGAGGGGGGGGGGGGGGGCAAACCTTTTTTTGTTTGCCCAAAACATTTTAACCTTGCCCCCCCCCCCCTTTTAAAACAGAAACCCTTTCCCACCCCAAAAAAAAAACCCCCAAAATTTTGGAGACCTTTTATTTTTTCCCCCAAAAACCCCAAAAAATTTTTTTGAAACTTTTCCCCCCCCCCCCAGGCCCCCTTTGGCCCCCCAACCACCGGGAAGGGGGGGGTGGAAACC